AGTGAACTCTGAAGTCATCTTCAAGTAAAGGCTGTAGTTGGGGATCAGAAAATTAATCCATGGACACCATGGTCTACATGTAGATGCTGATTTTAGTGTTTTCAGTACCTGCATGGTTTTTTTTCTTTTTTCAGTCTTAAAACTGATTATTGTAATTATACGAAGCTAAAAAATCTTGTATAATTACTGTATTTACTCAAGTCCAAGACAAGGGTGTCCCGTCCCATTGGATGCACACTTTGTCAGGGTTATTTGACCCCAGCAGTCTTTCCTGCCCAGAGCAGGGGAGCTGGATCCAATGATCTCACAAGGTCCTTTCCAGCCATAAACTTCTGTGAATCTGTCCTGTCTCGTCCCCTGTGTATCCCCCATCAACATGAGACAAGTAGCTGCTGCAGCCTCAGCTCCAGGACTGTGTAGTAGCTGTGTGGGGGGGAGCACAACGAGGGTGGCACCCAGTAGAGACCATGCGAAGGAGTGGTGTTTTAGGGAGGGAGACCTGTTTGGGGCGGGGGCCAATTGTATTCTGTACATGGGAAATTGTCATTTCCTGTTCCCCTAATTTATAATATTTCATGTATAGAATCTAATTATGGGGGGGGGGGTGTCTTAAATTCAAAGTCGTCTTGGATTTGGGTAAATATGGTATTAAAACAAGACTCTGGAAGAGTGCTTGAAGTCCCTTAATCCTGATGGAACATGCTTTTATCTTTGCTCTGTCATTAGCCCTATTTACCTCAATAATACTGCTTTCAGATAAGGGTGCTATTTAATGAGAGTAATTATTGCAGTATCTGGGCACTTATTCAAGAAGAATTCATCTAACATGCACCTTATGAAATAAAATCTGACCTGACCCAACCCTTAAGCGTTCCTTTCAAGAAAGACTTAATATAAACCATGTTTCTGAAAGAGTAATAAAATAATACATATTGGAAGAGACCATTGATTTTTATTTATTTATTTATTTATTTATTTTTTCCTATTCTGGAGATATTATCAAACCTCTTTTTCATACAGAATAGCCTAGCACGTGAGAACTTTCAGAAATTTCTCTCTTTAAATGGACACCTTCTTGGACGACAGCCATTTCCTGATATTGTACAGTTAGGGCTTTGTCAACCAGAAACCTCAGAAGTATATCAACAAGCTAAACTAAAGGCACACCAAGAAGTTGATAAAGGGGCATTTTATGTGGAATGGATGTAAGTAGACACCGTCAATCAACCCCACCAATAGCCTGGGATTGGGGCCCCAGGGGCCTGCGCCTCCTCTGCCCAGTCCCTTGTGCTGGGATTGAGGCACCGGGGCCTATGTCACTTCTGTCTGGCCCTGTGTCCTAGGTATTGGAGCCTGGGACCCTGTGCTGCCTCTGCCTGGCCCTGTGTACTGGGTTTGGACTCGTGGGGCTATGTGCTGCCTTCCCTTGGCCATGCTAGAATTGGGCCCTGTGCTGCCCTGCACACCGGATGTAGCGTGCAGGGCCATAATCAAGTAATCCCCACTGATGTTAAGATCTCATTTTACTTAACTATTCAGATTTCAACCTGTCCTTTCTTTATTTGTACTACTGGCATTTCAAAAGTACTAATTATTTTTGGCTAATGTGTTTCTACTTAGATTTTTTTCAAATCTTTTTTTACATCTTAAAGATTTTGGAAAAACTCTTGGTAAATCTGGTAAAAATGCATCTTATAAAAATAAAGCTTAGTCTATCGATTCAGACACTTCACTCTCAAACAATGAAAAATAAAACTTTTTTTTTGTCTTTGTATCTGGATCTGTGAGTCAGCTGTAGGAAATATAACCGTATTGGTTGAACATCTGAGAAGGATCTCATGTGTTGGTTAAACCATATCTGTAAAATAAATTATGCCCAAGAAATGTGAAGAGTTGATGTCAAAGGTCCCTCTGAGACTACCAGCCCATTGCCATGCCCTAACTGACACGGTAGTTTTTTCAATAAATATGCCATATTCCATATAATCAGCACTCTGAATTACTTGTTACCTACTTATAGCTGAGCTTTACTAGGGGGACAGTCCTCAGTACAAGTCTAGAGCAAACACTAAGATAGGATTACTTGATTGTTCTAAAATCACTGATTATTACCTTCCTGTGTTATAGAAATAAAGGCATGAAGAACCTCTCCCGTTTGGTTGTCCGACCACACACAGATGCAGTTTACCATGCCTGCTTTTCCCAGGATGGACAGAAAATAGCTTCTTGTGGAGCTGACAGAACACTGCAGGTAAAATATGCATACTCAAGTAAAACTGAAATGCACGTCTCTGGCCACACAGTACTAAGATTTTTCTGAGTTTGTTCTTGTTATTTTACTTTATTATGCAAAGGTGCCAGGAAACTAGAACTCTTCAGAGGGAAAATAATTTAAAGTCATATAGTCAAGGTTGTTTAATTATATGTGACTGTATTGCTTGTGTTTATAGAATCATTTTTTATCTAGATGTGTACAGGGGTTTTATGGGTTTGTCTTCTAAACGCTATTGCATCCTGTATGCATACTGGACTGTTTCTGTTGGTATAGACCTTGTAGCCTGATGTAACCCTACCAATACACCCACAAAACATGTTTTTCTGTATTCCCTTGTGACAAATTATGCTGCAGTTAACCTTAACTTTTCCACAGAATTGAAAAATTGTTTGTCAGTGTTAAAAACAGCCAGTACCAGTCATCGTATGGAAACAGTAAAACTATATGTGTGTGTGTGTGTGTGTGTGTGTGTGTGTGTGTATATGTATGTATGTATGTATGTATGTGTGTGTGTGTGTATATATGTATATATATGTATGTATATGTAGACATTTATAGTACTTTTATCATTCTTCTGTGAATAATCTGTTAATGTAGTGCTAGTGGGGGAAAATGAGTTTCAGAAATTGGAGATGGTAATATAATGAAAAGTGGGGTTTAAAGAGAAGGCTTGCAATTAAAAGCTGGCTGAGGGAAAGTGACTGATGCCAATTTGCCAGCAGTCTGCCTGGAGGGTGCCAGCCAGCTCTCAAGAATGCTAGCAAGTCAGCCAACCAGTAATCCAGTTAAGGTATCCATATTACAGACAGCCCAAGGTAAGGGTAAAGAGTATGTTTTTTGCAAGCCTTTTGTAGTATTTTGACTGCTTAGCAAGTTGAATACTATTTGTTATTGGCTTTTTTCCAGTTCCTAGTTATACACTGTTCATTTGGATATTTAATGTTTGTTGCTGTTTTCATTTGCTGGCTGCTACACAATTTTGATGACATCCCATTCAGATTATTTCTGATGGATGTACTTTTTATTCTGCTGTGCTGAAGTTATTGTGATGTACGTCTCTACTTAATGATCTCATCATTAAGACCAAGGGTTTTTCTTAAAAAGTGGAAGAAATGTAGCAGCATATGGTTTGGAAAAGCTTTTTTAAAAGGACCCTGTATTTTTAATGATTGTATTTCTTAATAAAAAAAAAAACCTCTCATGTTTAAACTTTGCATTACCAATATTTTTCCTAATAAATGCCTGGAAATGTACCACTCTTCAGATATCCTCTCCCTGCGACTATGTATATATCTTGTCTGTAAGCAAAGCAGTCAGTAATCCTTAAGTTCTGCAAAAGCAGATTTTCCTTAACATATTGCAGATTTTATATTTTACTGTCCCTTTAGAATATTCAGGATGATCTTTTTTTGGGTTGTTTTTTTTTAAGGTAATCAGTTTCATTATTGTTAGTACTTCCTTGTAGAGCTGAATGGGAATAAAAGCACAAAAACATTTTAAAATTACATTACCTTTGATTCAGTTAAAATCTTAAGTATTTGAACAATTTAAAGATCAGTAGCTGAGGGAGGAAAGACTCAGTGAAGAACTCATGCTTAAATTCTGCTATCTTAAAAGTCGATCTGAAAATATTCCCTCTGCTCCTCTATTTTCTTTTTTCCATTTTGGAGTCAGAAGAAACCAGGACAGTGATATTTATTATATAAGACTTTGAAGTATCTGCCTACTCTCTCATTTTTCTGAGATTAAGAACTTTTCTAGCAGTAAATAATATTTACATCCAGGTAATCTCATTACTTGGATGTAAGGAAATGTAGAATTCCTCATTTTAATGTATTAAATGCCTATAAACAAAGTTTGTCACATGAAGGAGAAAAAGGCAAATTACTACTCTCACACAGCCCACATTTTTCACTTTAGGGTTTAAAATAACAATATTATTACTTGACACCTAAGTGTTTGTTTTCCTTAATGTCTTAAAAAAATAATATTAAGTAATGGAGAGTGTGAAAAGGCACTTGGCCTAAGAGATTTAAGATTTTTTTTCCCAGTGTGCTCATTACCATAACACATATTGTGTCGCTAACTAACTTGTTTATATTAAATCTAAATCATGGCCTCTGACAATATTTTCAAGGTTAATTTTATCCTATAGAGTCTCTCCTTTTTAACAATTTGTGACATTTTTATAGTTCAGTTAGTCTTTGCTCTAAAGTCCAAGTTTGAAAAAGTAGATATTGAAAATTCAGAGGTTACTTTTAAATAAAATTAAGAACACACTACAAGATAAATTAAATTTTGGCCTTAACTATTGGTTAATTTGCCCTTTAATGTTCCTAAATATTTGAATTGCAGAACATGGCAATTTTTTACCTTACATGGTACAGTATTAAATTTGCCTCAAAGCATGTTTGATATAAGATTTCAGAATCATGTTATATTTTGCTTGCATAGGTGTTTAAAGCAGAAACTGGAGAGAAACTTCAGAATATAGAAGCTCATGATGATGAAGTACTTTATTGCGCTTTCTCTCCAGATGGTAGATTCATAGCAACTTGTTCAGCAGATAACAAAGCGAAGGTAAGAAAATGGTCCTCTGACACCTTTTCACCTTAGAACAAGGAGGGTTTTTTTCTAAACTCTAACCAATTCCAGGTGATTCAATTTTTAAGACCATTTTCGTTGAGATCTAATCTATGTAGAACGTAAGCTTTGTTGTTGTTGTTTTTAATTTAACTTATCATAGAATCATAGAAGTAGGGTTGGAAGGGACCTTGTAGATCTTCAAGTCTGACCCCCTGCCTGGGCAGGAGGAAAACAGCTCAAGTGACCCCGGCCAGGTAGGCATCAAGCCACTTCTTAAAGACCCCCAGGGTAGGAGCCAGCACCACTTCCCTTGGAAGTTGGTTCCAGATCCTAGCCGCCCTGACTGTGAAGTAGTTCTTATGGAT